AGCAGCCACACTCCTGGGCAGCGTATTCCTGTGGCGGGAGCTACAAGAGGCACCGCTGTCGCTGGCTGAAGGCTGGCAGCTCTTCCTGGCAGCTCTGGCGCAGGGCGTGCTGGAACACCACACCTATGGTGCCCTGCTCTTCCCTCTGCTGGCTCTGGGTCTCTACCCCTGCTGGCTGCTTTTCTGGAATGTTCTCTTCTGGAAGTGACGTCGGCTTGAAGACTGTGGTGGGAACCCCCCCAAACACCCCCATATTCTCCTTCCTGGGAAATAAACAGGTATCTTGTTTCAGCTGCCTTTGTGCTCCTGGCCTGCTCTCCACTGTCTGTGTGGTTTCCAGGGCCTGTGGGGCAGAAGCTGTGCCTACAGGGCTTGGCATTCCCACGCAGCTCCTTCTGGGAGGGCACCGCCCTTGTCCGCTAACTAGACGGCATCTCTGCCGGCCAGGAGCACTCGCAGCCCTGGAGGTTTCTGCACATCACAGTCCAGTGCTGTGGGAGGCACAGTGCTGGGTAAGAGAAAACTGGACAGGGCTTGCGTGTCTGACAGCATCCTGCTGAGGCACCCAGAGACCTCACAGAGCCATCGTAGTCAGCACTGGGGCTGGAGCCCTGCAGAGGAGGCTTAGTTGTGGGGAGTGGGGTGCCCAGCCAAGGCCAGGGCCTTGGTGTGGGCTTAGGATGGAGCAAAGAGGAACACCTGGCAGAGCTGAACAAGGCCAGGTACCCATGATGAGCAGGGCATTGGAGCCCGCCCAGTACACCCAGAAGCAGACAATCCATGGGGTCATCTGTCTCCACTGTGTCATGGTCTCCTGTGCTCTCTGTCCTTGTGGGCTGGCATGTAATACAAAATCCCTTCTAGCCGAACTTTGGCCTCAATTAGCCATTTAAAAAAAAAAAATTTTTTTTTTTAATCCTCATCCGAGGGCATTTCTCCATTTTTTGTTCAAATAGAGTGGGAGGGAGAGAGAGAGAGAGAGAAAGAAACATCGACGTAAAAGGGACACATTGAGTGGCTACCACCTGTATGACCAACTAGGGCCCCAGGGCTGGGGACAAACTGCAATGGAGGTATGCACCCTTAGCGGGAACCGAACCTGGGTCTCTCTGGACCGCAGGCCAATGCTCTAACCGCTGAGCCAAACTGGCCAGGACTCAATCAGCCATTTTTTAAAAATATGTTTTTGTCCTGGCTAGTTTGGCTCAGCGCATCGGCCCGTGGACCAATGAGTCGTAGGTTTGATTCCAGTCAAGGGCACATAACTCGATTGCGGTTAGTCCCCAGCCCTGGTGGGGTCGTGCGGAGGCAGCCAGTCAGTGTGTCTCTTGCACATTGATGTTTCTCTCCCTCCCTCCCTCCCACTCCATTTGAAGATAAACTGAGAAAAATTCTCAGGTGAGGATTTAAAAAATATACATGTATATGTTTTTATTGATTTTTTTAGAGAAAGAGACGGAAACAGATGTGAGAGAGAAACATCAATAGGCTGCCTCCTGCATGCTCCCCACTGGGGATCGGGCCTGCAACCCAGGTATGTGTCATGACCGGGAATCAAACCCGGGACCTCTTAATCCATGGGATGGTTACTCAGTCCACTAAGCCACACTGGCCAGGCTCAATCAGCCATTCTTTTTTTTCTTTTCTTTTTTTTTTTTTATCCTCACCTGAGGACATTTTGCATTTATCTTCAGATAGAGCGGGAGGGAGAGAGGGAGAAAGAAGGAAACCGACATCAGAGAGACATGGAGTGGTTGCCTCCCACACAACTTCAACGGGGACCAGGGACAAACTGCAACCAAGGTACGTGCCCTCAGCGGGAACCGAACCTGGGACTCTCCGGTCTGCAGGCCAACGCTCTAATCGCTGAGCCAAACTGGCCAGGGCTCAATCAGCCATTTTTAATTGGACTTAGGCAGTCATTTAAACATGTCACAAAAATACATTAAATCATGGAACATACGAGTGGGGACAAAAGCTAAAACATCATCTCAATTATGTCTGAACTTGCCCATGCAGAACTCTCCCTGGCTGTACACAGAGTTGAAGCGGGACCAAGGGAATGACAAAGTTGATTTGTTAGGGAGTCAGCATTTCTGTTGATTTTTACTGTCTCTTAATTTTTTTAAGAAAAAGATGGTAAAGATGTAGGTCAGATGTAAAATGGATGAATATAAAATCCTAAACACTTTTCTTTGAAGGCGCCAGTGTAGCAACTTCTTCCCCAATATCAATTCTCCATAATCATAGAGCCCCGATTTTGACATAAGCACAAGCCACCCTGCATAGACGCGCCCAGTCTGTTGTGCAGCCAGGTGTGACCATGTGACTGTGTTATGGCTGACAGGATATGAGCAGCAGTTTCAAGGGCAGCTTATCTGAGATGTGCAGACTGCCCTTCACAGCCCAGCTCCTGCCCACGGTAATGTGGGAGTGATGGTTGGGAAGTGAGGTACAGCCCAGTAGAAGGTGGAGGCAGATGATGAGGGGGCTTCCTGATGATCAGGAGCCATCACAGCAGCCCCAGGTTGCTAAATTGGGCTTCATTGGCAAGAAGTCTCTACTTTGTTTAAGCCATTTTTATTTGGCATTTTCTGACACTCTGATCTACTTCCAACCAATACAAAAGGGGCAATCACTGAACCCAACCTATATGGGGACTCTAACGTGGCACCAGCTGGATGGATTTAGAAGTATGTGGGTGTCTGTTTTGTTGATAATTATTACTTAGTAGTTACTTGCCTTCCATGCCCCAGAAGAGAAGCACGATGGAGGCAGGGACTTTATGTCCTGCCACTTTTCCAGCACAGAGCCTGGTACAGAGTAAAATATGCATATGTATTTGTTAAAGGAAAGAATCGGATAGGTCCCCATGAGCACAATCGTGGAGGTCCAGAAGGAAGCCCTGAGGGTAAACCTGTTGCCTTCCACAGGGGTCTAGAGATCAGCTTATGGCTTGTGATATGGGTTGAGGGCAGAGGCCTGGGGATACCCCTAGACAGGAGGGCCACTCTCCACCCAGCAGCCTCCTAACAAATAGGCTGTCCACTGATGCCTACCCCGGGCTTGGGACATCTCCAGCAACTCCACTGAGTATCCCAGGTTTCCTCTGTGTTCTCTAAGACCCTCTGCCAAGTCACCCACTCCACCTGAGGCTTCAACGTTGGGAGCTCAAGGGCTGCTCAGGATGGAGTTACCTGTGAACTGCTCCCACAGGCTCCAACTGTCTTCATGCCTATGCTCAGGTCCTGTGTCCCACCCAGGCCCCTCTTCTGAAGCCCTTATCCATGTCACTTCCACCTCCTAGATGTCCATGGTCACTCAAGAATTTGTGTCCCAACTTGAACACCTCCCACCCTGCATGCAACACCTCCTTTGGCCTCACAAATCTGCCTGCCTCTATAGATTTGCCTCCTCTGGACTTCCCTGTCAGTGAACTCATCATATAGTATATGTCATCTGTTGTGACTGGCTTCTCTCACTTAGCACAATGTTCTCAAGATTTATCCATGTTGTCCAAGTGTCAGTACTTCCTTTGTACAGCTGAATATTCCACTACATGGACCTGCCACACATTTTGTTTATGCATTTATCAAGTGAGGGATATCTGGGTTGTTTCTTTTGGCCGGGGGCCGTTAATGATAATGCTTTCAACTTTCATGAACTCAGCCAGTGAGGAACCGGCACTATGCTGAATTCTCCATTTCCTCCAATGGATTTTCATTCAAAACTGCCCCTCCCGCCCTGGCCGGTTTGGCTCAGCGGTTGGAGCGTCAGCCTGCGGTCCTGAGAGACCCGGGTTCGGTTCCCGCTAAGGGCATGTACCTCGGTTGCAGTTTGTCCCCGGCCCTGGTCGGTTGTACGGGTGGCAGCCACTCGATGTGTCCCTTTCACGTCGAAGTTTCTCTCTCTCTCTTTGTTCCTCTCTCTCCCTCCCACTCTACCTGAACAAAAGATGGAAAAATGTCCTCAGGTGAGGATTAAAAACAAAAACAAAAAACTGCCCCTCCCAGCTTCCTCCTTTGCCTCTCTAAAGTTCCTCCTTTGTTTGCTGGACTTATCTCTAGTCTTTGCTGTTGCAGTCTTGTACTGAATTACAGTTCTCTGCTATTCTCGCATGAACCCACTTTTTACCTGGGAAGAAAAAAAAGGATATTTTACCCTTGGCTCAACGGTTGGAGTGGCTGCCTGGGGACCGAAGAGTCACAAGTTCGATTCCTCCTCAAGGGAGGCAACCAAGTGATGTCTCTTTTTCACCTGGATGTCTCCCTCCCTCCCTCCCTCTCACTCTATCTAAAAATCAGTGGAGAAATACTCTTGGGTGAGGGTTTAAAAAAAAAAGGATGTTTTATTTTTAAGGTCAACGTTACCTTTGATTAATTTCCAGAGTTCCGAAGAAGTTGACTGCCAATTATTGCTAGTTTCTCCCTTGCTCTTATGTGAGGAGACAGGGAAGCACGTTTTCCGAGGTCCTTACTCCTTCACCTTCACTGGCGACGGGGATTGCTTGAGGGACCTTGGCTGCCATGCTCCTCCGGACGCAGTATGTGCCTGGTAGTCCCTGGGGACCCGGCCTGTGGCCGCGGGGCAGTGCGGGAGGACCGGGCGTGAGGCCCCGGCCTACCCCGCTGGGCGGCCTGTCTGCCCTCAGTCCGGAGGAGCGGGGTCCGCTGCCACCCGCGCCCGGTCTGGACGTGCCATGGACGAAAGCGCGATGGCCTTGGAGACGGCCTGGTTCCAGACCGGCTAGTCCGGGCATGGGGGGCGCATCTCCGCTGAGCCCAGAGACCAGCAAGAGGAAACCCGGGTAGTTGATCGTTGTCACGGCAACAGGGAGACTCAACGGGACCGCCCAACCGTCGGTTTCCACGACAACTCGAGCGGCGTCGCGAGGCGGTGCCTCGGCGCCAACAGACAGACCCCAACCCCGCCCCCTGCTCCCGGCTATCGCGAGCTTTAAGCTCCCGTCGCGACGCAGGGGCCGACGGGAGGGCGGCCGCCGCGCTGAAGAGGCCAAAGATGGCGGCGGCGGCGGCTTCGCTTCGCGGGGCAGTGCTGGGCTCGCGGAGCGCGGGGCTGCCCGGCGCGCGGGCCCGGGGTCTGCTGTGCGGCGCACGGCCCGGGCAGCTCCCGCTGCGGACGCCTCAGGTGAGCGCTGGCCCGGACCCGGCCGCCGCGCGGCCCCGCAGCCCGTGAAGGTCACGGCGGGGAGCCTCCGGGCGCGGGCCAGCCAGCGGGGCAGTGGTCTCGGCCACCCGGCGCCCCTGCCGCGCCTCCGCTGCCTGCTGGCCTAGGTGCCTCCCTGGAGCAGGGCTGCGTGCCCACTCCTCCGAACAGCCGAAGCGCCTCGTGCCGAGCCTGGGAGTGGTGGGGCGGGCTCGCTGCCGGGTCGGGTCGGGGCTGAGGGCCTTCCCCGGGGGCGCTTCCAAGCCCACTCCCGCTCGGGCCTACCGGACTGGGCCCGCGTCCCGAAGTGACCTCAGCCTGACCTCGGCCGGCTGCCGTGACCTTGGCCTGCCCCCGCACACCCGCGCTCTTCGGCGTGATCCGGCCCAGGATCCGAGGACACGCCTTACATCCCGTCCTCAGGGTGGACTCACGGTGGCGGGGTCAGCGGCGCGGATGAGTGGGGCGGGCAGTGGCGCAGAGTGTGCTTTTGGCGACCCCCAGGAGGTGGCCAGTGCTGGGTGATGAGTGGGAGAGGTAGGCGCCGAGAGTCAGATCCCCAGGTCGGGCTGGGTGGTGTTCAGGCAGGTGCTGATCGGGGCTCTTGCAGGCAGTGTCCTTGTCGTCGAAGTCTGGTCTGTCCCGGGGCCGGAAAGTGATGCTGTCAGCGCTGGGCATGCTGGCGGCAGGGGGTGCAGGACTGGCTGTGGCTCTGCATTCTGCCGTGAGTGCTAGCGACCTGGAGCTGCACCCCCCTAACTATCCGTGGTCCCACCGCGGCCTCCTCTCTTCCCTGGACCACACCAGGTGTGCGGCTGGTTGGCTGGGGGGTTTGGTGGACTGGGTAGGGTGGGATCCACAGCACCACTAACCTTTTCCCTTTTCCCTTAGCATCCGGAGGGGTTTCCAGGTATATAAGCAGGTGTGCTCCTCTTGCCACAGCATGGACTACGTGGCTTACCGCCACCTGGTAGGCGTGTGCTACACTGAAGAAGAAGCTAAGGCCCTGGCTGAAGAGGTGGGGAACCTGGGGATACTGCAAAGGACCCAGGGGTTGGGGCTCCCACTGGGAGGACTGACAGCAGGGTTGTGATGATGCTCTGGGTGGCAGGTGGAGATTCAGGACGGTCCCAATGATGATGGGGAGATGTTCATGCGACCAGGAAAGCTGTCTGACTACTTCCCCAAACCATACCCCAACCCTGAGGCCGCCAGAGCAGCCAACAATGGAGCAGTGCCTCCTGACCTCAGCTACATCGTGCGTGCTAGGTACACTGGCTTCCTGCAGGGGGTGGAGGGAGGGGAGGAAGGTCCAATTCATGCCAGAGGCTGAGGAGGCATCGATCTGGTCTCAGGCACGGTGGTGAAGATTATGTCTTCTCTCTGCTCACCGGCTACTGTGAGCCACCCACCGGGGTGGTACTACGAGAAGGCCTCTACTTCAACCCCTACTTCCCTGGCCAGGCCATTGGCATGGCCCCTCCCATCTACGACGAGGTCTTGGAGTTTGATGATGGTGAGGCCCCAACCCTGATGGTGGACTAACTGGGCCCTACTTTCCCCACCATCTGGATGCTTCCCTGGGTTCTCTTTGGTTGGGGCACTGTGTGAGGAGGCTTGTGGGCAATCTTCACAGCTCTGTCCATTGGTGCTGAGGGGGTCCCACCCCTTTTGAAGCCTTAGGCAGGAACCCATCTACCATGGAGGGGATGCTCTGAGGACTAAGGGCCCCAAGGGCAGCCCTCACCACTTGTCCTTGGTCTAGGCACCCCAGCTACCATGTCCCAGGTAGCCAAGGATGTGTGTACCTTCCTGCGCTGGGCATCTGAGCCAGAGCATGACCATCGAAAACGCATGGGTCTCAAGGTGAAAGGGTTGGGCAAGGGGCACGGCAGAGGGAGGGGCTGGGAACCAGGCAGGCGGGGGGTCCTTTCTGCCTCCCTTCTCTGAGCCTGCCTCATCCCCAGATGTTGATGATGATGAGCTTGCTGTTGCCTTTGATCTACGCCATGAAGCGGCATAAGTGGTCAGTCCTGAAGAGCCGGAAGCTGGCATATCGGCCACCCAAGTGACCCTGCCCCAAGGTCTGCTTGCTGTCCTGACTGAATGGGCCCTCAAGCCAAGGAGCCACCCTGGGTCTCTTCAGACCCCAGCTGGCCCTCTTGGCCAAGCCCCTCTTCCTCTGGGACAAGATGGGAGAGGGGAAGGAAACCGGGCTTGAGCTCCAGATCCTTCAGCCTCTATCATGAAAATAAATTAACTTTCTCAATGGACACCTTTGCGCTATTGTGTGATGGGAGTGCAGTTTTCTGGGGACCCTGGGACTAAGGTCTTTGCCATTAGAGCTCCCAGGGATGTCCTGTGCAGTGTGGTGCTGGCTGCTGGCTGCTGGCTGCTGGCTGGGAGTCCACTCAGGTCTGGATATGGAACAGGAAGCAGAGACCTAACTGTTAGAGAAGGTGGCAGCACTAATTGTGGTGAGGAGTATCCAGTCACAGAGGTGAAAAGGGGCTGGCTGCACATGGCCCAGGGATCTGTCAGAGTAACCAGCCAACAACTGTATGTTGAACCACTTGGCCTTCATCCTGAGAGTAGCAGGGAGGGCCTGGCCTAAAGTAGGAGCTTGGGGAGCTGTTTGGGGCTGGGCTGGGCTGGGCGAGGGAGGCAACTCTAGCTCTGCTCAGGAAGCAAGAGATAAGCAGGCTGACCACCTAGAATGTGCTTCTGGTCTCTTGGCTGGACAATTGAAGGGATCCACTGAGAAAGGTCATGCTGGAAGGGAGCAGGGTGGTGGTTTGTCATGGGATGGTGCCTCTTATCAATCCACAGGCAGCTGTGGCTGGGTCTAGGCCAGTCAGCTAGATAGAGCTGGGTTCATGTAGCAGCAGACTAGGGGCAGGGGAACAACAGTGGATCTGTCAGTGGTAGGAGGGCCATGGACATATTGTCTTAGCAGCAGCACAGGGCCCTGGCTCAGGGCTCTTAGCTTCTGAGTTTTCTTGCCTTACATACTCTTGGGGACATCTTGGCTGGAGCAGCCCCAGGGAGTGGTGGCCAGTTGGGATGGCAGAGCTGAGTGGGAGAAAGGAAGAGGGTGCATGCCTGAGGGGCTCTAGGTAGATGAGGGGAGGCGTCAGCTGGGGGTGGGGGCTCTGCAAGCCCTTTTTGTATAGGAAGAAATCTTAGCACTATGCCCCTAGGACCCCTGGGACTTAGAATCCAAGTAAGCTCTTCAGCAGCTTCCTGGACCCAGCCGGGGATCCCTGCCTGCTGAGGGCCAAACCCTGTCCCCTGTGCCAAGTTTTCTCCATTCTCCCAGCAGCCCAGGGCACACAAAGAGGGGGCACTCAGCTGGCTCAGAAGTATCTTTAATGACTCTGGCTCATGCCTCTCTCCCCCAACTCTTGCTCTGTCCTCAGAGAGCAGTCAGTGGAGGTCCCCTGGGGGGTTTAGGAGGGCATCCAGGGACCTTGGGCCCGGAAGGGAAGGGCCATGCTCTCTCCTTGTGACCTGGGGATAGGGGGAAAGATGGGTCATTTTGCTGTTCTGCCACCCTCCCCCACTCCCACTCCCCTCCCTGCCTCTAGTACCATTGGTGACTGCTGGGTAGAGGCTGCAGGAAGGGGGTCCCAAGCGCAGGGTCTCTGGGTGCTACACATCTCACAGCCAGGCCGGCTTGGGGCATTGATGAAGGTGCAGGAAGGGCAGGACCAGCTGGGCTGGGGAGGAGGAACAGTTGTTGCTTACCCCTTCCTTCCAATGCCCACAGCTGCCCACACCCACCTTACCTGGGCCCTTGCCTACCTGAAGGGGGCTGGGGAGGCTGGAGCTGGCTGGCTGAGGGGCTCGGGGCAGCCCCAATGACTGAGGAAATAGGAGGCCTAGTTCCCCATCCATCTTCTGTGGGCACTGAGAACTGTGTCCTGTTAGGTACAGGGGGTGGGGCTCAGGGCCATGTCAGGCTGCACCCCACCTTCCTCACCCCACCCCAATCAAGGACTGACCTGAGGCTTCTCGAGGGGCTGAAAGCAGGTAGAGGAAAGCAGGGTCCCTATCCTGCCAGACCCCATAGGAAGCAAGGCTGCGTTCAGGCACACACAGGCACTTCCCAATGACCCAGCGCTGCACAGCTGGTGGGAAGCCAAACTCTGAGAATACCTGGAGCCAGAGCCAGGGCCAGGCAGTGTTACCTAAGCAGTGTCACCTAGGGTCTCTGCCCCCAGCAGAACTCCCCAGACCCTGCGCTCACCTGCTCCTGGAGGGCCGAGATGGTGCAGTGGGGGTAGACCTGCAGCGAAACGTGGGCAGAGGATGCAGCGTCTTCAACTGTGACCTGTAGCCTAAGCCAGAATGTAGGTTGGGGGAATGATGGGGTACCTGGGGGGGCCTGGAGGGTGGGGTGAGTACAAAGTTTCAGGTCTCACCTAATGGGGCCTGGAGGGAAGCAGCTCTCCTGGAGCTGGACACTGAGGGCCACATGATGTTGGGCCAGAATGGCGGCTGCTTGAGCTGCCCCTTTCTTATCCCCACCCTCAATGGCCCGGGCCAGGCGCCCTGCCAGCTCTTCTGCAAGGAAAGAGAGATCACACGGTCACACCTGGGCATGGCTGCTTGCCCCACCCCTCCAGCCACCTGCCTTTACCATTCTCCAAGTGTCCAGGACTCGAGGAAACATCCACCTTGGTTTGGGGGGCCTTGGCTGTGTGCACTTCAGGGAGACTGGATGGGGAAACAGGGCACATTTCTGGGCCCAGGGCTGGAGGCAGGCTGTCACTACCTAGGAGGGAAGATGTGGGGTGGGATGGTGGTCTCCTGAGACCCAGCCTGCCAGCCAAGTACTCAACTAGGCCTCTGCTCTCTGGTCTCAGGTTTCCAAAAACATTTGCTTCCTCCCTCCTCACCTCAGCACATGCCAGGGCCCCACTTCAACCCAGGCCTTCCCTCAAGCCTTGGTCCTTGCAAGGGACGGGGAACCCCTCAGGTCCCTGTGGACTCCTCTCAGAGCTGAAACTGCACTTGTGCTCTAGGCTTCTGGACCCTCTGCTGTCTGGTCCCACCTGTGTCCCTCCTCCACAGAGGCCAGGCCACTTCTCTTGACCTCCATAGGCCCTCAACCAGCTAGGGATATTCCTTTGACCTCACAGCAGAACCAAAGCAAGTGCACAGGAACCTGCCCCTTCCTGCTCACCAGGGGCCCTGCAGTCCTTCAGGGACTTCCATCCCCTCTCCTGACTCTACCATCAGCATACCTGGCTGCTCCATTCCAAACAAACCCTCTTGGGTGACTGTCTGCTCTGGGCATCCTTATAGAGCTGGCCATTCTGTCTCCCTCTCTTCTCTTCCACTTGAGGCCCAGCCCACCCAGTGCTGAGGCAGTGCAGGCCCTCAGAATCCTAAGCTGTCTGCCCACTGATACAAGTAGTGCTTCCAAGCACCCAGCACCAGGCCTGGCTCAGCGTTGGCGCATGCTCTTCCCTCAGAGTTTGTGTACTCACCACTCTCTGGACACATGGATCACACCTCAAACTTCAAATTTCACTTGGTATCACCTTAAGGAGGCCTTTGCTGCCTCCCTCCCAGCACTCCCATCTCTTCCACCATCTGAGTGAATTTTATTCACTCATTTTATATGTCTGCCTCCCCTCTAGAACTGCAAGTTCCAAGAGAGTAGAGGTTTGAAGTTTTATTCATCTATATCTCCTAGGCCTAAAAGAGTGCTTAGTCCAGAGCGGAACCAAATATACACCTGGTGAGTGAGTGAAAGGGCTTTTCTCCCTCTGCAAATGCTGTGTTGTCTGGGCCTCCCTTACACCATCTTGTATGGTTTTCTTCCTACTCCTCTGGCAGCTCTTCTAATGCACTTGTGAACTCTTTCTTTGATGCACTGCCTGCCTGCCTGACCCTCTTGTCTCCCGCTGACCTTGTTTAATCTTTCCTACCCCCAGTCTTTTAACTTTCCAGAGCCCCAGCTTCAGCCCAGATTCACCTACTCCCGCTTCCCCCAGATATATAAGAACTGGGCCATCTCCACACCCTCCCGGACAGGACCTCTCTCTGGGAGGCCAAGGGTATTTGGTCCCCCATCTTTCTGTCTCAACCACTAACTCTTTGATTTAAACACCCATAAAATCCAGCTAATTCTAGCTTTCTCTCCAGCCCTATCTGCATGATACGTTATGAATGTAGCTCTCAACCAATCTTAAGGAGCTCAAATCTGAACCTGTCACTCACTGAATACCTTCCCATTGCTCTTGATACAGTGTCTTCTCACCCAGGTCCTGAAGGCCTGCTTGCTCTGCCCCCCCACCCCCCCTTTGTCTGGTACTCCAGGTCCCAGCTCTTGGCCTCTGTTCATTTTCTTCACTTTCTCCTGGGAGCTTTCCCAGAACACCAGCAGTAGGTAAGGTGGGCCCAGCTTTACCCACTACATCCCCCATCCAGGCCTGGGGGGCTGGTGCTCCTCCTGCTCTCTCCCAGAACAGTACTTGGCCAACCAAATTAATCTTTGCTCCAGGGCACTGACCATTCTGTCCCTCCACGGTGGCACCTTGAACCAGGGCTGCCCACCGCTGAGCTTCCTGAGGGTTGAGGAAATGCAGGCTTAGGGTCCCAGGCCCTCCTGGTGGAGGCTGCAGCTCATGCTGGTTGGGATTTCGGACGGTGTAGGAGACTGACTCCAAGGGCCACTCCAAACTGACCTGAGGATGGGGAGAATCCAAGCTCATGCCTCCCCACAAGCACATACTGCAAAATGACCAAAGACATGTGAGGTAACATTTATAGGCCACTTACACTGTCCTAAACTCTTTACAACTCATTATTTTATGAAACCCTCATAGTAGTCCTAGAAAGGTTAAGAGCCAACCTTATCCCCATTTACAGACGAGGAAACGGAAGCAAGGAAAGTGACCTGCTACAAGGAACTCAACGGGCAAGCAAAGGGACCTGGCTTCGGGCTCTGCGTCCCGCCCAGGCCGCCTGGCCGCGGCCCGCGCCGCTCCCACTCACCGCCCCGGGCCCCGCGCCTAGGATCTCCAGCCGGAAGCGCCCGGGCCGCTCGGGGTCCGCGCTCAGCTGCAGCCTCCGCAGCTGCGCTTCGGCGTTCGGCCCCGCTGCCAGGGGCCTCACGGCGGCGTGCACAGCCAGCAGCACGGCAGCGGAGCCCGGGTCCGAGGCCGCCACCGCTCCACCCGCCGGCGGCGCCATCTCCGGTCCGGCAGTGTCTTGGCCCTCCGAGTCCGCTTCCGTGGGCTGGGGCCGCAGAGCGCCTGCGCCGGCCGGAAACCGAGGCTGCGAGCCGGGGGGTCCGGGGTCGGCCAGCGGGTTGAAGCCGAGCCGGGGACAGGGAGAAGGATTGGCGAATCCAACCCTCCTCCGGCTTTGCTCAGGATATACACGGTCCAAGAGTCTCCGGACACGGGTGGGCGAGGCTGGGCCTGCAGGCTTGTACGCCGGGGCAGTGTCAGGGACGGACGCGCTGGCCAAGACTAGAAGGCAGGCGCGGTCCCGTCGCCCTAAAGGCTTGGGCGGGCGGGAGGCTGCTGCCCTGCGGTCCGTGTCTACCCGTGGGGCTGACGAGCGCTGGACGCCACTCCCAGGCCCCTTCTGGTTGTCACCGCGCCGCGCACTCCGGGGCGGGGCAGGCGAGAGGCTGTGACCAATGAGCGCCAGGAAGGAAGACGGGTGCGGGCGGTGAGAAGAGTGACGGACAGGCACGGCAGCCAGTAGGCATAAAAGACAGGGCTGAGCGGCGGATCACGTTCCCAATGGCTCTCCGAGCTCTCGATCGCAGCGGCTGGAGCCGGCCATTCAGAGGCGTGGGGCCGGGCCTTGCGTGTGCTTGTTGTTGTCCGGCCGAGGGAGGCAGAGGTCGGTCGGTCGCTTGCTCGTTAGTTGGGGCGATCTCTGGCAGTCGGCGGGCAGGTCCGTCGCGATAGTCGGGCGCCGTGCAGGGGCGAGGCTATGTCGCGGTGGCAGCCCGGATGGGCCGGCAGGGCCGGGAGTAACGGGATGTCGTCGCGGAGCTTCTTACCCGGGATAGAGTGCAGCCCTAGCGGAGGCCGCGGCGCCGCCCTCCGGTCCTGAGGATCCCGCGCTGCCCGGAGCCCTCACCGCCTTCTCACCCGCGCCGACGCCAACTGACCTGACCCGGCCTGGCTCTGTCGGGCCAGATAGAGCGCAGCGCAAGCAGGTAGGTGTCCGCCCTGTGCCCGGCACTGTATCGGGGCCTCCAGGACTACAGCCCCCAGCAGGGCGCGCGCCAGCGCGTGCACGCGCCTGGGGCGCCCGGCCTTCTGGGACTTGTAGTTCGCCACGGCTAGGCTGGGGTTCCGCTAGGCCCTGGCGGGGAGGCGGGCCCTGCTGGGCGGACACTGGAGCGCCCTAGCGGCCCGTGGACAGACCGTTCTGGGGCCCTGAGGCCTCCCTCCACACTTTTGGAGAAGAACGGAGGAGCCTTCAGGTTTCCTCTCCCCTCGCTATAAAGCATCTCGTAGAGCAGGAAAGAAACCCGAGCCCCAGGTATCCGGGTTCCAAACCGGGTGTGGGTTCTTATCCTGGTTGAGGAGTCGGGTTGGAGGGGGACTGCTGTAGACAAGTCCCTTTGTGGGCTCTTTTGTAGGAATGGGGAATGTTGAGGGAGAGTCTAAACTAGCAGTCTTGGGGTGAGCAGGATCCCTTGTGGGCCCCCCAGCTTGGCCCAGAACTCAATGAGGTGCAGGGGGTGTGGCTGAGCTGGGGCTTCGACTTGCCACTCTCAGGTAACAGGATCTCATCGCCTCTCCCGCAGTGCTGTGGGCTTGGGAGCAGGCTGTGGGAGGGACTCGGCTTGTTTACCTTGGGTCCATTTACGGGAGAGGAGGGCTGAAGGTGGAAGTCCTGGAGCCATATACCCTTGGACTGGCTTCTTGTCCCCAGGCAGCACTAGCCCCTCGAAGCACAGGACCCCCTCCCAAGGACATGAAGCTATTGGAGAACTCGAGCTTTGAGGCCATCAACTCACAGCTGACTGTGGAGACTGGAGATGCCCACATCATTGGCAGGTGAGGGCGGAGTTCTAGGGGCTGATGTCTCAGAGGCCACTCTGCCCTGGCCCTGAGTCAAACCTGGGGGTCGCATGCTCCACGTTCCCACCTGCATCCATCCTGCAGGATCGAGAGCTACTCGTGTAAGATGGCAGGAGATGACAAGCACATGTTCAAGCAGTTCTGCCAGGAGGGCCAACCACACGTGCTGGAGGCACTGTCCCCACCCCAAACCTCGGGCCTCAGCCCCAGCAGGTGAGCCTGGGCACCGCCTGTCCACTAGGGGCTGTTGGGTGTAGGGTAGTACTGGGCTAATGCTTCTCTGTGCAGACTGAGCAAGAGCCAAGGTGGCGAGGATGAGGGCCCCCTCAGCGACAAGTGCAGCCGCAAAACACTCTTCTACCTGATTGCCACGCTCAACGAGTCCTTCCGCCCTGACTATGACTTCAGCACTGCCCGAAGCCATGAGTTCAGCCGGGAGCCCAGCCTCAGCTGGGTGAGGGTTGGGCAGGGGGAGGGAACCTCAGCCCACAGCTATCCTCACCGTCCTCCCCCATTTTCATTGGCCCTTGAACTCTACCTAGTCCGTGCCTGCTGTCCTAGTACATAGTCAGCCCAAGCTATGACCATCCTAGGTGGTGAATGCAGTCAATTGCAGTCTGTTCTCAGCTGTGCGGGAGGACTTCAAGGCCCTGAAGCCACAGCTGTGGAATGCTGTGGATGAGGAGATCTGCCTGGCTGAATGTGACATCTACAGGTGGGCTGGCATCCCTGCAGGTGGGCTCTGGGTGTGTGTGGCACTTGAGACCTCACACCAATTTCACCCTACACTATCCAGCTACAACCCAGACTTGGACTCAGACCCCTTTGGGGAGGATGGCAGTCTCTGGTCCTTTAACTACTTTTTCTACAACAAGCGGCTTAAGCGGATTGTCTTCTTCAGCTGTCGTTCCATCAGGTTGGCACCCATCCCTTCCCCCAGCTCCCTGTTTGACTGATCCCACTCCTGACTTTGCCCTCCTTGAACATCCTCTGTGGGGTCAGCAGCAGATCGGGGTGGGCAGTCCTAAGACCAATTCCTCACCTCCCCCAGTGGATCCACGTACACGCCCTCGGAGGCAGGCAATGAGTTGGACATGGAGCTGGGGGAGGAGGAGGATGAACTCGGAGGTGGAGGCAGTGAGGGTGGATCCGAGGAGACCAGCCCCATGGAGGACAGGTATGTGATGGTGGTGGTGGCCTGGCTGCCTGGAGCCTGGGGTGGGCAGGACAGGGTGAGGCCCCTCTGCCTGGTCTCCTGGATGTTAGCTCCTCAAGGCTAGTTGTGTGCCCTCTCTGCCCAGGGTCCCGGTGATCTGTATGTGAGGAGGAAAAGCAGAGGCCCCAGCTTCATCAAGCTTCAACCAGTGCCTGGACCTACCCACCTGAGGGGCCCCAGGGCCTCCCCAGCTGCTGGCCAGACCCTGGTGCTGCCACAGCTCCAGTGCTGCCCACCTAGCCCTTTGGTTCCTACCTATGGATGGCTACTCACCCCCACAGGCTCTGCTGCCCACATTGTGGCTGGACTGAGCAGACAGCACAGGGCCTGGTGGGAACAGCCACTGCCCTGCACAAACAAACTGACACAGGCAGGGACAGCTGGACCACAGAGTTTATTTTTGTATTTTGTACCCTGGGCCTGCACACTCCAGCCCAAAGGGCCTGAGACCCCACAAACTGGTCCCAACAGTCATCTGCCCTGGGCTTAGGCTGGCTCTTGGCACCCACCTGTACCCCCCACTTCGCCCATTGGGCAGCGTGCACTGAGTGTCACTTTGCTGCAGCTTGTTTGTTTCCAATAAAAGTTTATGTGACTTACTGTGGACCTGGGCTGAGTTGCATGAGGGCGGGGCCTGCGTCGGGGGCGGGGCTACGTCATCTGGTATCCTAGCAACTGGCGGTAGCGGCTGTTGAGCCGCCTGGACCTGCAGCCATCAAAATGGAGATGGATGTATCAGACTCAAGCAGCCCCTTTTCAGTAGAAGACGACAACCTGCTTCTGGATCCAGATCTGAATGACGCTGACAGCTATGACATCCCAGACCCTGGGATGCTCCAAGAAAAGAACGGTGAGATGGCCTGGCCTTGGCCTCCAGATGGCCCTCCTGAAAGCAGCCCTCACTCGGGCGCGGGCTCTTTCCACCAGGAATGCAAAGTTCCACGGGCAGTCCCCTAACCCACAGGGCCCTCCAGAAGGCCCCTGGCCACCCACAACCTCGGGGATGGGGGCCCAAGGCCACATAGTGACAGCGCTTCCACCGCTTCCCCGCAGAGCCATCATTCTCCAAGTCGGTCTCGCAGCTTTTCACCAGGAGGTCATGGTGGCAAAACTTGACCCCAAGAGCCCGTGCCCGCCAGCTGTGGCTGCTCCTGCGTATAAGCCTCCACAGCTTTGTGGAAAAGGTGCGACTGGCCCAAGGCATCTGCCTTGAGGGCTCTTTCCTGGCCCCGCTTTTCCCCTAGGGGTCTCTAGCTGATCCTCTTGGCTCCCCTAGGCGGGTGCACTCTCTCTCGCAGGTCCCCCCAACTTAACTGAATGCCTGCCCAACCTGGCCCACAGGAAAAGAGATCCGAGCTGCAGGTGGCTCACTTGACGCACGGACTGGAGCCACTGCGCCGCCTGGAGGTGGCAGCCGGGCTATGCTGGGTAACACAGGACCCGGTGGGCAGACGCTTAGTAGTGCTGGATGGTGCAGGCTGCCTGCACCTACACAGAGAGGACGGCTGGCCTCATGAGAAGCTGCTGGCCCCCATTGCTCTCACGGGGCTGGTGACAGTGCTGGGCCCGATGGGCTCCGTGGGCCGCTTTGTGGGCTGGGGCCCTGCAGGGCTGGCCATACTAAAGCCAGACTTCAGCCTGCTGTGGCTGAGTGAGCCAGGAGTGGGTAGGTCATCCCACCGTGAGCCCATCTGCTGCTTGCCAGTGCCTGACTTGGGGCTGCTGCTAGTGGCAGAGGCAGGCGGTGGCCTGGCGCTCTGGAAGTTCCGTGTAGGGGGTCGCCGTCTAGTGCCCTGTGGGTCAACTCTGCAGCCTCTGTTAAGCGCTGGTGGTGGCCTGGTGCGTCTGGCTCTAGGGCCCCTGCCTCCCAACCACTCCCTGTGCTGCTTTGCGGCCTATGGCTCCGCTGTGTTCACCTTTGATCTGCATACCTGGGCTGTCATAGATGAGCGCCGGGATCTGCACAAAACGTGAGGAGGTGCCCAGGGATGGGGGCCTTGAGACAAGTCCACGAGGGAAAGCCAGTTTGGGCAGGAGTGCAGGCCCTCTCACATGAGGTGTTGCTGAGTAGGCTGGCCTTTTCCCCCCAGCACCATCTCCGACCTGGCATACTGTGGAGAGGTAGAGGCCATAGTGACAGCTTCCCGAGACAGCACAGTGAAGGTGTGGGAGGCTGACTGGCAGATCCGGATGGTGTTTGTGGGCCACACAGGTACATCATGCCACTGTGGTACCAGAAGCCCCTTCTCTCTCCACCCCACCTTAAAGAGCTCTGGGCTGTCCAGAATCTCCGCCAGCTCTGGCCAAGCTTCTCTGTGCTGGTTGTAACCCGAGCTGACAGCTTCCTTTCTCTTAGTCCCTAGTGTGCCCAAGTGATCTGCGTCCCCTCCACAGGCCCGGTGACAGCTCTGTCCGTGCTCCCAAACACATCCCTGGTGCTGTCAGCCTCGCAGGACGGGACGCTTCGCACGTGGGATCTACAGGCGGTGGCACAGGTAGGCAAAGTGGCACTGAACTGCTGGGGCCAGGATGTGCGGTCAGGGTGCGTGAACCGCCTGCTGGCGCCCGCCAGCCCCGGCTGGCCGGTGCTCTCCCTGCGTGCAGGCAGCGTGGAGCTGTGGCGCCTGCGCGAGCTCTACTCGCCATTGGCACAGCTGTCTGCGCCAGTGCTCCACCTGCAGGTGGCGCCCGAGCTGCCCCTGCCCCTGCACCCGCCGTTGCCTGTGCGCCTTGTGTGCGCTTGCTCCGACGGCTCAGTTTACCTGGTGTCGCTGGCGACGGGGCGCACAGTGAGCGCGCTGCTGCTTGAACCTGAGGATTGTGCGGCTGCCGTGGCCTACTGCCTGCCGCGCGAAACGCTGTGGCTGCTGACACGAGCCGGACACCTGATATGTGCCAACGCAGCGCGCTGCCCCATGTGCGTGCTGGGCCGCGTGTGCCCGCTACCGCCCCCGGCGCCCAGGCCCTGCTGCCTGCACCTCTACAGCCACCTCACAGACCCCAGCGGCGCATTTGCCAGCTGGGAGATAGTGCGCCAGCGTGAAGGCAAGCTGTGCCACAGTGACACCCGAGCCTGGAAGGACAAGAACCGGTAGGTGTCAGAGCCAGGGAGGGCCAGGAGGGCCCAGAGGGCCCGGCCAACAGGCTCTTATTACCTGTAGATACCTGCCCGTGGTGGGACACACGGACGGCATGCTATCGGTACTCAACTGGCACACACTGAAGCCTGTCTTCTATGCAAAGGCACACAGCCCGGGCCCAGTCACTGCCATTGCATCTACCTCGAACAGCATTGTGTCCTCTGGTCAGTACCTACCCCCACATCACACCCATAGCTGCAGGGAATCCTTTTCCCTGCCCAAAGGCCCAGCCCTGGCTCCCACTGGGTAGGCGGAGACTTAACCGTGAAGATGTGGCACGTCTTCCCCTATGCCGAGGAGAGCCTGAGCCTGCTTCGTACCTTCTCCTGCTGCCACCCTGCCCTGGTGCTCTGTGCACTTGGGGAGCGTGTCATGGTGGCCTTTGAGGACCCAAACAGTGCCACCTATGGTCTGGTGCAGTTTAGCCTGGGCAACAGCCGGCGCTATGACCACCAGCCCCAGGATGACCACATGGAACACATCACCGGTGAGAGGGCAGGGCAGAGGTGAAACCCAGACTCCCATATGGCCCTGTTTTTTGACTCTGAGCCCTGGCCCCCAGGCCTGTGCTGCTGTCCCGCGCTCAAGCTGTATGCCTCTTCCAGCCTGGATTGCACCATCAGAATCTGGACTGCAGAGAACCGCCTGCTGCGGTGGGCTGGGGCCCCCAAAGACAGAGGAGGGAGGGAGGGAGGGAGGGAGGGAGGGCCCAGCTAGAAGCTGGGGGCAACCAGCTGGGCTCCCCTGCCTCTGCCCCCAGCAGAGCCAGAGGCTTAACAGGGGAGACAGGCACTCGCTCCTCCTGCTCCCTCTATTTCCTGCTCTTTGGAGCAGGGCTGGACTCTTGCCCTGGACACCCCTCCAGGCTCCTGCAGCTGAATGGAGCCCCTCAGGCCCTGACCTTCTGCAGCAACAGTGGGGATCTGGTGCTGGCCCTGGGCTCCCGCCTCTGCCTGGTATCCCACAGGCTCTACCTGCCCACGTCCTACCTGGTTAAGGTGTGCAGTGAGCACAGGGTGTGTGTGTGTGGGGGGGGCTGCTGTGGGCAAACAAACCTCCTAGGCCAGGACTCCAGGCTTCTTTCCCTGCTCAGAAGCTGTGCCAGAATGTCCCTGATGTGGTGGATGACCCTCCACTGCCGCTGACTAGCGAGGAGTCGCTGACCTCAGCCCAGCTGCAGAGACTTGCCAACCTGCATGGGGTGGCCAGCCTCAGGTCAGCCAGCAAAACCCCTGGGCTTTCCTGGAGGCTCCCACCCAGTTCCTCTGGCTCAAGGTCTGGCTTTGTGCCCCCAGTATCCCAGCATGAGATCCCAGGACTCCTAGTCACCTGGGGCCACCTTAAGCCTGTCCAGCCCTGAGATCCCCACTCCTAGCTGTCTCCTGTGCCCCATTAGGCCTGGACACCTTCCTGAATTCTTTTTTTTTTTTTTTTGGTATGTGCCCCTAGTGGGAACTGAACTCAGGACTCTCTAGTCCACAGGCCGTTGCTCCAACCGCTGAGCCAAACCGGCCAGGGCATCCCTCCTGAATTCTTATCCCAGCCTCAGCCCATTCCCATTTAGCATCCTACTTGTGCTCATCCCTGTCTGCAGCATGGCCTTGTCTTTCATCCATCGCCAGACGGCAGAACCTCAGCAGCCGCTGTTGGAAGAGGTGGGGTGCACAGCTCTGCCCCAGTCCAGGCTTGAGCCATACCCCTTCAGTTCCTGGGGCAGGCCTGGGATCACTGTGGTTATCTGGGCAGCACATGGCAAGACAAGGAAGAATGGGCTGACTCTTGACCCTCAACCCAGGACCTGGAAGCCTTAGTTGCCCGGAACCAAGACCTTCAGCAGCTGAGACTGGGGCAGGTGGTCCCAGCAGCCCGGCCCCCACTCTCCTGGAAGCGGCAGCAGCAGGCCTTTGATAACTACCTTTGTCTGATCTATGGCCCGGTGGGTGGGGTACCTCCCCCAGCATCAGCCCTGACCCAGCCCCTCTCTTCATCCTGGGGCTCTGACACCACCTACCTGCCCTGCTTGCCACCCTCCCAGGGCATGCATTCTAGATCAGAGTCCCAGCGGTGGAACACCATGACCCTCACAGTGGAGAAAAAGACCTGGGGTGTACGCACCACACCTAAAGCTGCTCCCAGTCTTGGGAAGGCTGAGGTCTGCATTGAAGTCCCCAAAGAGCCAACAGCCCTGCCCCCACAGGACTGGGGGGCACTGGGCCAGCGCTTTTCCTGTCCTTCCCGAGTCACCTTGCCCACCATGCCCACCCACCAGTGGGTACACAGCAAGGCATCCCAGGTGAGGCCTCCCACCCCTGCCACCCTTCTGCCCTGACCTCAGGACCCTACCCTCCACCCTATGACACCTTCTCCCATGCCCCAGCTGCTGGCCCGCTCCTCCCTGAGCTCCTTTCTGGGCCTCAGTGTGAACCTGCAGCTGCAGTTGGAGCGGCTCCACCAGGAGAGGCCTGTGGCCCTGGACCCATCACCTTCCCACCTGCAGCACAGGGTGAGGGGCCCAGGCAGGTGGGATGCTGCCTCCCAAGGCAGAGCTGCAGGGGCGCTGAGTCCATGCTCAGCTCTGAGACCCTGTCCTATCCCCAGATCCCTCTGCTGCTGGAAAGGCAGCCCAAGGAGTTTCCCTCTAACATCGGGGGCTTTTTTCCTGCCACCATTCAGCCCTACAAGGTGAGACACAGACACACATTCTCCAGTGGCACCTCCCTCCAGGGGTCACCCTTCTTGTGTACCCCATCTTCCCTTTGCTGCAAACTCTTGTGTCCAAATCTGATTTAGGGCCATACCGACCTGCAGCCCTTATTCCCACCCCTCCCTGCCTGCCCAGTTCCAGTGCCACTGCTTTGTGGGCCCTGACTGCTTGCTCTCTGGAGTGGCTGCCAGAGGGGCTGGGGCTCCTAGAGCAGGTGATGGACAAGCCAGAGCCTCTGCCAGCTGGTTGTGCCTGCATGCCCCTCACCTTCCCCCTCCCTTCAGGGGACCAAAGTCCATGGGAGCTGATCCTTGCGGTTCATTGCCTTCCCACCCAGATGCCCAGAGAGGCCTCCGCCCCTCCCCCAGCACGCATTTGGCACTATCACTGGCCTAAGTGGCCACTAATCCTTCCAGCTGCTACACCATACAGCCAAGCCCCAGAGTCCCTCTCCAGGCTCCTATCCCACCACCCTCTGCTTCTCATGAATGTCCCTGATCCAGGGTTGGGGGCCAAGTTCTATGGAGAGCATGTTGGGTATTAGGGTGGCCCAGATTTCCTTCCTCAGTTACCACAGTTGATGGCTCCCTGACTGCCCTTCCCCTGACTTCTGAAGGCTCTCTCTGCCCATCTGTGTGTTGTGGGTGAGGTTGGGAAACCAGTTCAGCTTTTGAAGACCTGGCAGGGAGCTGGGCTGGTGGCCAGGGTGCTCGGCCCAGGCGGTCTCTGGGATGGGGTAGAATTCAGGTTCTCAGCCTATCATGCTGTGCTCCACCACCAGGACATGCCAAGGCCCATCCACTTCCCAGGCTGGGTCCCCAACTCCATGGTACTGCAGCAAATGTGGCAGCACAGGGAGGTCAGCAAACCTGGGGCCCTCGCCCAGCTCACCAGCCAGCGCTCACTCAAGGCAAGGGGTGGGGCTGGGGGCTCACCCTGCCTTCAGGTCTGGGGATGGGCTCTGTGGAGGGGAGGGAGCATGAAGTGGCCACTAGCACTGTCCCATCCACAGCCAGGAGGGAGCCAGGATGACCTGTGGCTGTTGCGGGGCAGGCGCTACCCCAAGTGGCAGCAGAGGTCGATCCAGAGTTTGGGTAAGGGGGACGACGACCACCAGGAAGAACTGGATCTGGACTGGGACTCAGACTTCCTGAGCCCCCATTTGGAGCTCTCCCAGGAACAGCTGGGGTCCGACGAACTGTCAGTTCAGGTGGGCAGCTCTGAGTCCTTGATCTGGAGGAGCTCCCATGACAATGCTGCCAGGAGAGAGACCTACTTATACCGCCACCGGTACCACACTGGGCACTCACTCTGGGAAGAGCGCTATGGGCATCTTCCCAGGTTCCTGCGTTTCTTTGTCATCCAGAACTGGTTCAAAAAGCTGTTCCCCATCTTCACCCTGGAGGTTTGGAGGATGCCTGGGAAGCAGGCTGGTGGGGGAGTGGCGGGGAGGCAGGGCCTCAGCTCTTGGTCTCCACAGGCATACCCTGAGGTAAGCACAGTGGATGGCCTGGCCTCGCTCTTCATGGACCTGCTGGAAGAGGCCTCCTGGGTGGACCGGGTGCACATCCTGCATGCATTTCTGAGGCTGCTGCCTGATATGAGCCAAAACCTCTGTAGGCGGTTGCATGGCATCCTCTTGCACCTACTCAACCTGGAGCAGCCCCCCAGCCTCCAGGTTCGCCTCAGGCCCACCCTGCCTTGATCCACGTCACCCAGTCCCACCCCACCCTGCCCCTAGCCTTCACCAATTACACTCCTCCCATCTGCATTCAGGACTGGATACAGAAGCAGTTTGTGTTGGTGGCATTTCAGATCCTCCTGGCCTGCTCCCTGGAGTCCCGTGATGTGGTGCTAGAGCTCATGTCCTACTTCCTCTACTCACCACCCTCCTGCAGGTGAGGCCCGCTCTCTTCGCTGGCTGTGGTGGGGGGGGCGGTGTGCGTTCCGGACAAGCCACCCTCGCCTGTTGCAGGCCTGAGCTCAAGAAGCTGCTGGATGCATTAGGCCTTCAGGACCCGGAGGGCTTCCTGTTCAAGGAGATGACGACCTGGGTCCAGGACCTGGGCCTGGACTCCAAGGCTGCACTACGTAGTTGCTGTGCCCAAAAGTTGGAAGAAATGATCCGCCACCTTCAGGTCTGGGTGGGCAGGGGTAGGGCAGGCCACCTACCCGTGGAGCCTCTTGCCTTCTCCCAGGGCTTTCCCCAGGTCCAGGGAGGAGAGTCAGGTGAGGCTGCTAGGTCCCTTGCCTCACTCTAGATCTGTGTGTCACCTGTTCCCCGGGGTCCCGCATCTCTCTGGATCTCCCTGCTCCTTCCTGGCAGGGAGTCTGCAGTGGGTCAGGCTGGGATGCAGGCACAGCACCATTCCCTGGGCCCTGATACACCCTCCCCTGGTCACCTTTCCCACAGACACAAACCTTGCAGCCTTCAGTAGCCAAGTTGTCGGAGGTGTTGCCCAAGGTCTCTGACACCTCAGTGTTTTCATCCCTGTCCGAGGAGACCCTGTCGCAGATTTCCATGTTCTCCAGGGCACCCACTCACATCTCCGTGACATCTTCACTCCAATCCTGGTCGCCCTCGCTGGTGAGCTCGCCCGAGGAAGCTGCCGAGGAGTCCCAAATCCTGCAGTGGCTCTCACAGATGCACGTCTGGCACGCCCACCGCACGCACTCGGAGACAGTGACATCCTTCTCCTCCAAGCCCGATGTCCACCTGCGCTCCTCAGCGCCAGACGTGTTTTCTGACCATCCACTGCCACTGGAGCAGACCGAATGGTCACAGTCAAAGGTGCTGGACCTGGGGTCAGTTGACGCACTCAACTACTTCTGTGGGCAGCAGCGGGCACAGCAGCCGAGTTCCCTGCAGAAGGAGGCTGAAGGCCCGTGCCCGAGGCCACAGGCAGTAGTGCCCAACGCTGTGTTGCCACAGCCCCACCGTCACCTGTGAGCTGCTGGGGACTTGGGTATGGGCTGGGGTAGGGCACACAGTGGATGGCTGAGGGCCTGGCTCACTCAAACCCACCTCCTTCCACCCCAGGCCCAGCCCCATTCTAAGGCTTCAGGAGACCAAGATCCAGAGGTCTCCAGTGAGACAGAGGGGTGAGTGGGGGCAGGGTTGGAGATGGATCCTGAGCTTCACCCCAGCCTGGGTCCCACAGGGCCTCCACCTCTCCAGAGGCCTCACTGCCCCTCTGGCCTCAGGCCAGATGCTGTTCCAGCGTTGGGAGGGCCGCACCCTCGATGGCCCCATTCGGATGCTGAAGCTGCCCCTGCCTCGGGTAGAAGTGCGACCTTTCCCCTTGGACTGGCCCAGGCCTGCCCGTCCGCTGCCGCCCCTGCTCCTGCAGCCCGCCCTGCAGCGCTACTTTCTGCCAGACTACGCAGACCCAGACAACTACAGCTGACCTGGCTGGCGGCCTTGGCCCGACCCCTTTTCCAGCCTGCCCTTCCCTCCAGCAGGGGCCAGGACACAGCTCTTCACCCAGCTGTTCGCCCCTGGCCAAGACCCAGGGCTGGAATAAAGTCCCGCTAGCAAACTGGATGTCATGATCATCTTTGGGGGCCACAGGAGTAGGCAGGGAGGTCTGGTGGGTGGAGTGGGTGGGACAGGGTCTGGGGTGTGGTGAGCCCACAGTGGGGCAGCCCTGCTGGTGGGCTGGACCTGTTCTGCCCAGGCAGGGACCCATGGTGTAGGTTCATCGCTGCTCAGGCACTCAGCCAATGTTCATCAATTACTGGGGGCCAGATGGCAGAGGGCACTAATAAGCCAGGGAGTGGCCAGATGTTCTAGGGAGGGGGAGGGTCTGGGTGGCCACAGGTATGGGCAGGCTTCAGTCTTTTTTTATTTTTTTATCCTCACCCAAGGACATTTTTTGATATTTTGTTCAGATAGAGTGGGAGGGGGAGAGAGAGAGAGAGAGAAACATCGACGTGAAAGGGACACATCGAGTAGTTGCCACCCACACAACCCAACCAGGGCCGGGGACAAACTGCAACTGAGGTACATGCCCTTAGTGGGAACGAACCTGGGTCTCTCGGGACCGCAGGCCGACGCTCTAACTGCTGAGCAAAACCGGCCAGGGCTGGTCTTTTTTTTTTTTATCCTCACCCAAGGATATATTTATATTTATATTTATATATATACACACACACACACATATATACACATATATATATATTTCATTTCTCTTCAGATAGGGAGGGAGGGAGGAAGAGAGAGAGAAACATTGACGTGAGAGACACACATCGATTGGTTGCCACCCGCACAACCCCAGCTGGAGCCGGGGATGAACTACAACTGAGGTACGTGCCCTTAGCGGGAAAGGAACCCAGGACTTCCTGTCCATGGGCCAACGTTCTAACCGCTGAGCCAAACTGGCCAGGGCCAGGCTTCGGTCTTTTGATACAGGTGCAACCAGGAGCCTGTTGGCACACTGTTACCTTTAGGTTAGAAGGAAGAAGAATCAGTGAAGGGGCCCCGCCTACTTCATCCAAGAAGCAATAGAGGCGCAGTATTCTCAGGACCCTTCAATTTAAACATCGCCACGATACACACCTTATCTGTGACGTGCAGGGTCTAGAAGGTCTCCTGAACCGCCATGGTCTCTCAGGGACACTGGCTCTGTGGCCTGCTTTGGGGAAGGGCTTGTTCTAGCTTTCACACCCTTCTGCTGGGTTGCCCTAGCAGCAAGTTCCTTCCTGTGAGTGTTTTCAGCCTCCAACTTTAGAGGTTTCTTCTTGATGGCTTTATGGTTACAGCTGGCCCCCCACAACCCCCAAGCTGTGCAGGGGGTCTTGATATGGGGTAGGTGGCTCTTTTGAGGCCAAGCAGGGCCAGGAGTGCCCAACCTGAAGAGCTACAGGGCTGGAAGTTTTTTATAAAAGGGGTTGTGCAACCCATCATGGTCTGCTTCTACTGGTTTTCATGGTTTAAATGATAAAATCAAAATGCTTTTAAAATTAAAAACATGAGAAAGTAGGGCAAGTGTAAACAGGTTAAAAAACCCACTAACCATAAAGGAAAAAATGTTGTCGTTGTTGTTGTTAATCCTCACCCAAGGATATTTTTCCATTGATTTTTTTTTTTTTTTATCCTCACCCGAGGACATTTTTCCATTTTTTGTACAGACAGAGTGGGAGGGAGAGAGAGGAAGAGAGAGAGAGGGAAACATCGATGTGAAAGGGACACATCGAGTGGCTGCCACCCGCACGACCAACCAGGGCCGGGGACAAACTGCAACCGAGCTACGTGCCCTTAGCGGGAACCGAACCCGGGTCTCACCGGACCGCAGGCGGACGCTCTAACCGCTGAGCCAAACTGGCCAGGGCTCCATTGATTTTTTTTAGATGGAGTGGAAGGGAGGGAGGTGGGGGAGAGAGAGAGAAACAGGTGAGAGAGACACATCAATTGGTTGCCTCCTGTATTACCCCTACCAGGGCCAGGGATTGAACCTGCAACCTGGGTATATGCCCTTGACCAGGAATCAAACCTGAGGCCCTTCAGTCTGCATACCGAAGTTCTAACCACTGAGGCAAACCGGCCAGGGGTAATACATACTAATATATAATTATTTTAAAAATATTTTTATTGATTTTTTTAGAGAGAGAGGAAGGGAAAAAGAGATAGAAACATCTTGATCTCTGCCTCCTGCATGCGCCCACTGGGGATCAAGCCCACAACCTGGGCATGTGCCCTGATTGGGAATCAAACTGGTGACCTCTTGGTGCATGGGTCGATGCTCAACCACTGAACCACACCAGCCGGGCAGCCGATAAAATATTTATTAAATACAAAGAGAAAAAGAGTAAACTGACAGTGAAGAGGCCTGGGCAACTCCGCCTGAGGTGATCAAAATGCCTCCAGCGCTTGGACAAGTGGATGCTGTGCCACCTGATGGGATGCAATAGAGAGAGCATCAACTCCATGGTAACCCTGCCACAAATGCATAACCAGTCTAAGCATGAGGCAATCAGACAAATAAATGCATATCGAGAAACAGGATACAAAATAACTGTCCAGTGGGCTGTAAGTGTCATGGCATGAAAGTCAAACACGAAGAGCTGTTCTGGATTGAAGGAGACCGAAGAGATGTGAGGGCACCTGCTAAAAGTCATTTGGGATAACTGGTGTAAGCAGGGAATTTGAGGTCTCTGAGTTAAGAGTATATGACATTTGCCTGGCTGATGTGGTTCAGTGGTTGAGCACCAACCCATGCACCAAGAGGTCACCAGTTCAATTCCTGGTCAGGACACATGCCCAGGTTGTGGGCCTGATCCCCAGTGGGGGGCATGCAGGAAGCAGCCAATCGATGTTCTCTCTGATGGATGTTTCTATCTCTCTCTCCCTCTCCCTTCCCTCTCTAAAGTCAATAAAGAAGAAAAAAAAAAGAGAGTATATGACATTCTTTGTACAGCTCTTTTAACTTTTCTTTAACTTTATCTTTTATTTTATTTTTTTCTTTATTGAATTTAGAGAGAGAAAGGGAGAGGGAGAGAGAGATAGAAACATCAATGAGAGAACATGATTGGCCACCTCCTACATGCCCCCCACTGGGGATCAGGCCCACAACCTGAGCATGTGCCTTGACCAGGAATTGAATTGGCGACTTCTTGGTGCATGATGGGTCATGCTCAACCACTGAGCCACACCGGCCAGGCTATTTTTATTTTTTAAAAAACAGCCCTGGCCCTGGCCGGTTTGGCTCAGCGGTTGGAGCGTCAGCCTGTGGTACAGAGAGACCGGGGTTCGGTTCCCGCTAAGGGCACGTACCTCGGTTGCAGTTTGTCCCTGGCCCTGGATGGTCATGCGAATGGCAGCCACTTGATGTGTCCCTTTCACATCGATGTTTCTCTCTCTCTCCCTCTCCCTCTCCCTCCCTCCTTCCCTCCCACTCTGTCTGAACAAAATATGGAAAAATGTCCTCGGGTGAGGATAAAAAACAACAACACATTTATTGTTCAACTAATCACTGAAATCCTTAAAATGAACTGGATGCTGCAACAGCGGCCTCTTGGGTTGAGGTGTTGTTCCCTCACGGAACCCATGCCTGAACCTACACTATATGATTTTTAGGTGCCTCATTCGACCGGTCCAGCGGTGTTTCTCCGTTTAGCCTTGGCCCTCCAGTTACACTTCCTCTTCCACGTGGCGGGGCAGCTGCACTTGCCGCAGGTGGACTTCCGAAAGTGGCAGGCCTTGGAGCACAGCGGCGGCACAGCACACGCGTCTTGTGGTGGCACTTGCCGGACGGGGACGTCCCCTTCGTCATCTCGCTTCTGCCACCGAGACCATAAGAGAAACTTTTCTTTAACTTTAAAATTACTCCCAAAAATGTCATATCTTTTAATTTCTCTTGGAAATATTTAAGGCTCCCTGTGGTGATTACTGTAAACACTCCTGGACTCCAGTGGGCTCTGCAGGTACACATTTTCGTCTCAGTCAAAAGCAGCCACCAGAGGGCATCGTTTACCTAGGTTGGCCATAACATTCCAATTCCATTTCTTGACAAATGTTAAACTTGGATGGGCAGGATCTGTATGTCTGGAGCATGTGTTTTCCTTGGAAAGGTGGGCACTTGCTTGGACTCGTCCACTCCCACCCTCTTCCTCAGTTTCCACTGGACTTTCACAGAAGGTTAGGTTGGGATTGAAGCTATGAAGTGCCCCTCTCATGGGTCTCAGCCAGGGGCAAGTCCCAGCTCTTGGAACAACCTACAGACTTCAGGGGCATGCTGTTCCCTGTGAGTGGCTCTCCTGGGTATCACTGTCCCTGGAGGTATCACCCTAGCCCTCAGTGTAAAATAAAAATAATATCAATTTGTTAAGGGGTTTATAACCCTGTAAAAGTAAAGTACATAACAAATAATCCACAACTCAAAGAATAAATAGAGGGGAAACTCCTGTAATAGAAAAAATGAAAGGTCTCACCCAGCTAGTGTGGCTCTGTGGTTGAGCATCGACCCATGCACCAAGAGGTCACCGGTTTGATTCCCGGTAAGGGCACATGCCCCAGTTGTGGGCCCAATCCCCAGTGATCCCCAGTGGGAAGCATGCAGGAGGTGGTCAATCAATTGATGTTCTCTCTCATAAATCTCTCTCTCTCTCCCCCCCTCCCTTCCTCTCTCTCTAAAGTCAATCAAGAAACAAAGAAAGAAAAGATGAAAGTTCTCAAATGAATGACCTCAGCTTCTACCCTAAGAAATTAGAAAAAGAACAGCAGCCCTGGCCAGTTTGGCTCAGGCGTTAGAGCACTGGCCTGCAGACCAAAGAGTCTCAGGTTCGATTTCCAGTCAAGGGCACATACCTTGCTTGCGGTTCAGTCTCCGGCCCTGGTCGGGGTCGTGGGGGAAGCAACCAATCGATGTATCTATCCCTCTCACTTCAATGCTTCTCTCTCTCTCTCTCTCTCTCTCTCTCTCTCTCCTCTCTCCTCTCTCCTCTCTCCCTCCCTCCCTCCCTCTCCCTCCTACTCTATCTGAATAAGTGCGAAAATATCCTCGGGTGAGGATTAAAAAAGAAAAAGAACAGCACAGTAATCAGAAGAAAGGAAATAGTAAGGTCAAAGTGAAAATTAATGAAGTTGAAAAAGAGAGAATATTTATGAATCCAAAAGGTGTTAAGATCAATAAAATTGACAAACCTTTGGCAAGATGGACAAAAAAGAGAAAGAAGACTGAAATTACCCATATCAGGACACAAGCTGCCAAAAGTCACCCAAGGAGAAAACAACCTGAATAGCCATGAATCTATTAAAGGAATTTAATTAGTAGTTAAAAATTTTTCCCAGAAAGAATTTTAGGCCCAGATGGCTCCACTGGGGAGTCCTACCACACACCGAAAAAATAAATAAAATGACTTTTACAGACTCTTTTTCTCTCTTTTTTAAAATCTTTTTTTTAAATATTTATTTATTTATTTTTTTATCCTCACCCGAGGACATTTTCGATATTTTGTTCAGATAGAGTGGGAGGGAGAGAGAGAGAGAGAAACATCGATGTGAAAGCGACACATCGAGTGGTTGCCACCCACACGACCCAACCAGGGCCGGGGACAAACTGCAACCAAGGTACGTGCCCTTAGTGGGAACCGAACCCGGGTCTCTCGGACCGCAGGCCAACGCTCTAACCACTGAGCCAAACCGGCCAGGGCTCTTTTTTAAAATCTTTATTGTTGAATGTATTACAGATGTTCCTCGTTTTTCCCCATTGACCCCCTACTCACCCCTCCCATCCCCCTCCTGCCTTTTCCTACACTGTTGTCTGTGTCCATTGGTTATGCATATATGCATATAAGTTCTTTGGTTTATTTCTTCCCACCCCCAACCCCCTTCCCTTTGAGGTTTGTCAGTCTAGCAACCCATTTGTACTTATTTTTTAAATTTAGTTAATTCATTTATTTTTGTTACAAATGTTTCTCCTTTTCCCCTCACTGATTCCCCCCCTCCTCCCTCCCCACCCTGGCCCCAGCTTTGTTGTCCATGTCCATTGTTCATGCATACATGCATATAAGTTCTGTGGTTTATCTCTCCCCCACCACTCCCTCTTCTGGGGATTGTCAGTCTGTACCCCACTTCCACATCTTTGGGACTACCCCATTCCTCAGACTGTTATGTTCATTATATTCCACAAATAAGTGAGATCATATGATACTTGTCTTTCTCTGTTTGGCTTGTTTCACTTAGGATGACACTTTCCAGGTCCCTCCATGTCATCTCAAAGGATAAGAGATCTTTCTTTCTTACAGCTGCACAGTACTCCATTGTGTACATGTACCACAGCTTTTTTATCCAATTGTCAAATGATGGACATTTGGGCTGTTTCCAGATCTTAGCTATTGTAAATAGTACTGCTACAAACATGGGGGTACATATATTCTTTCTGATTGGTGTTTCAGGCTTCTTAGGGTATATTCCTAGAAGAGGGATCACTGGGTCAAATGGAAGTTCAATTTTTAATTTTTTGAGGTAACACCATATTGTTTTTCATAGTGGCTGTACCAGTCTGCATTCCCACCAGCAGTGCACTAGAGTCCCCTTTTCTCCACAACACTTTTCCCTCGCCAACACTTGTTTGATGATTTGTTGATGGCAGCCATTCTGACAGGTGTGAGGTGATACCTCATTGTTGTTTTAATTTGCATCTCTCTGATGATTAGTGATGTTGAGCATTTTTTCATATGTCTCTTAGCCATTTGTATGTCCTATTTGGAGAGCTGTCTATTTAGTTCCCCATTTGTACTTCTTAATCCCTTCACCTTTTTCACCCATTCCCCCAAAACCCCTCCCATCTGGCAACCAACAAAATGTTCTTTGTATCTATGAGAATGTTTCTGTTCTGCTTGTTCATTTTGTTTGTAGATTCAATTGTCGATATATATATATTCATTGCCATTTTGTTTGTTCATGTTTTTTATCTTTTTCTTTAAGAAGACCCTTCAACATTTCATATAATAATGGTTTGGTGGTGATGAACTCCTTTAGTTTTTCCTTGTCCAGGAAACTCTTTATATGGCCATCGATTCTAAATGACAGCTTGGTTGTAGGTTCTTGCTTTTCATCACTCTGAATATTTCTTGCCACTCCCTTCTGACCTACAAGGTTTCTTTTGAGAAATCAGTTGACAGTCTTATGGGAACTCCCTTGTAGGTAATTAATTGCTTTTCTCTTGATGCTTTTAAGATTCTCTCTTTGTCTTGACCCTTTTGCATTTTGATGATGATGTGTCTTGGTGTGGGCCTCTTGGGGTTCTTTTTTTTTTAATCTTCACCTGTGTTCAGATAGAGTGGGAGAGAGAGAGAGAAACATCGACGTGAAAGGGACACATCAAGTGGCTGCCACCCGCACGACCAACCAGGGCTGGGGACAAACTGCAACCAAGTTACATGCCCTTAGCGGGAGCCGAACCCAGTCTCTCTGGACCGCAGAGCGACTAACCGCTGAGCCGAACCAGTCAGGGCTATCATCCTAATTCTTATCTGCCACACGTGGGTGTGGGACCAAGCCCTCTGCCTCCTCCCCTCCTACCAGTCTCCATGGGGCTGCTTCTTTAATTCCGTAGTTGTAGGACTTCCATTCAGCTGGCTGTCAGGCGGTTTTGAATGACGGTTGTTCTGTAGTTTAGTTGTAACTTTGATGTGGTTGTGGGAGGACGTGATAACCCATTTACCTACACCACCATCTTGACCGGAAGTCGAAACTCTTGCAGAAAACTGAAGGGAGTATTTCCCAATCCGTCTGAGGTCAACATCACCAAAGAAATTACAAGAAAACTGCACACCAATATCTTTCATGGACAGAAATGCAAAAATTCTAAACAAAGTTTTAGCAAATTGAATACAATATATAAAAATGAAAATATATCATGAGTAAAAGCGGGTAATGCTAGGGATGCAAGGCTGGTCTAACACTGTAATGTCAATCAATGCCATGAATCATGTGTTTCTTCCAGTGAAGTTGGATCTCTGCCCAGCCCATCCTGGAAGAAGGCCATGCAATCAGCCAGCCACCAGGGGACGGTGCTCAGTGTTTGTCCCTAAGTGACCCCCACCACCCACCCCGTCTTGCCCAGGTAGGCCGCTTCTGGCTGGCACCCAGTCCCACAATACCCCGGGGCTTAGCGTGGCCTCGCCTTCGCACGCTGGTCCCGCCCCCTACGCCGAGTCCTCAGCCTCGGATTGGTCGCTGTGGCTTCCGTTTTCCTGGTGGGCGGGGCCGTGCCGGGGCGGGGCTGTGCCGGGGCGGGGCTGAACGCTGGGACCCAGAGGAGCTGCCCTGGCTATTCCGACATGCGGGCCGGCGCGGGCTCGACCGCGGCGGACACGGCGGACACGGGCGCGTCGGCCGATGGCGTTGGCCCCGCGGGGTCGCTGACTGCCGAGGCAGAGGCGGCGAAGCTCCTGCCCTTCCTGGCGCCCGGCGCGCGGACGGACTTGCAGGAGGAGGCAGTGCGGCACGTGTTGGCGCTGACCGGCTCGGGACCGGGCCGGACGCTGCTGGCCGGCCAGGCGGCGCTACTGCGGGCGCTGGTCGAGTTGGCAGCGGCCCCGGCCCCGGCCCCGGCCCGCGACGCCGCCCGCGCCCTGGTCAACCTCGCCGCCGACCCCGGTCTGCACGAGCCGCTGCTGGCGGCCGAGCCCGGACTGCTTGCCCGCCTGCTCGGCCGCGCGTTGGACCCACAGTGGCCCTGGGCGGAAGAAGCGGCCGCCGTGCTGGCCAACCTCAGCCGCGAGCCGGCGCCGTGTGCCTCGCTCATGGAGGCGCTGATGGCCGCGGAGCCGGGGGAGTCAGGCCTGGAGCGGCTCGTGCGCGCGCTGTGTACTCCTGGCTACAACGCCCGCGCGCCACTGCATTACCTGGGGCCGGTGCTGTCCAACCTCAGCCAGCGTCCCGCGGCGAGAGCCTTCCTGCTGGACCCCGACAGGTGAACACCAGGATGCTCGCTGGGAGGGGGTGGACGTGAGCAGGGACATCACTGAGTGGTCCCTCCCTTCAGGTGCGTGGTCCAGCGGCTGCTGCCCCTTACCCAATACCCAGACTCCACGGTGCGCAGGGGCGGGGTCGTGGGGACGCTGCGAAACTGTTGCTTCGAGCACCGTGAGTGGTGGTGGTCGGGGGCGTTGCAATGGGGGAAGACTGGGTTCTGGAGCCCCTCTGGACAGGCCCTCATTCTTGTCCCCGCCCCCCTCCAGGACACCACGAGTGGTTGCTGGGGCCTGAGGTGGACATTCTGCCCTTCTTGCTACTGCCCCTGGCTGGGCCTGAAGACTTCTCTGAGGAGGAGATGGAGCGTGAGTGGCTTAAGTGGTGCCTCAGGGTTGGCCTGGCAGGAGGAGAAGCCAGTAGTGGGAGGGGGAGGAAGTATCTAGATCAGGGCCCCTTCTGAAACTTTCTAACAGTGAGTTGCTGAGCACAGGTGGGGTTTAGAAAGATGAGATCTGGCCTGGTGGCCCAGCACAGGGACCCAGTGACTCCCACATTTGCCCCTAGAGTTGCCTGTGGACCTGCAGTACCTGCCACCAGACAAGCAGCGGGAGCCTGATGCTGACATTCGCAAGATGCTCATTGAGGCCATCATGCTGGTGAGCAGGGGGTCCTGCTGCAGTAATCCCATCCCCCCCCAGCATGTACTCTGACATCTAACTTCTGCTGTCTCCCAGCTGACAGCCACAGCACGTGGTCGGCAGCAGGTGAGGGACCAGGGAGCCTACCTGATTCTGCGTGAGCTGCACAGCTGGGAGCCTGAGTCCGATGTGCAGGTGGCTTGTGAGAAACTCATCCAGGTGGGTGCACGGTTTGGTGTGGAGGGGTGGATGGGGAGATTACTGTGGCGTGCCAGTGGCTACTCACGTGTCTCCCCTGCTGCAGGTACTTATTGGTGATGAGCCGGAGCATGGCATGGAAAACCTGCTGGAAGTGCAGGTGCCTGAGGATGTGGAGCAGCAGCTGCAGCAGCTGGACCTCCAGGAGCAGGAGCAATACCAGCGTGAGCAGCGAGAGCGGGAGCTGTCTCCAGAGTCACAGGCGGAGGGGGCTGCACCCACCTGAGGCCCTTGCAGCCCACCACCAGCTCCAGACCCACCTTTACTAGCCCATCACTCCAGGCCTCCCAGATTAGGTCTTCCTGCACACTGCCTGCAGGCCTCTGGGTCACCTTGCTTGGAGGCTGGGCCCTACTGAGACGCACAGCTACACTTAAGCTCTGGGTTCATGCTGAGGGCTCTAGGGCTAATGCCTCTTAAACATTAGAGGATTGAGGGCACCTCCCTGTGCCTGTTGCTTCCAGCAAAAATGCAGCTTGTTCAGAGGAACACTGTTCAGCCAGAGCTGGCCAGGCCCTGTGGCTCTCAGGTACCTCCGGCGGGGATGCCCAGTGGAGCCATGAACTTCCTCCCAGGCATGGTGGTAGGGCTGGACAGAAAAACATTGTAAGCCAGAGAGGCCATCTGGAGCATTCCAGTCCCATGGGTACTAGAGGGGTCTAGGCCAGGCAGATACCCAGGTGTAAGCAGTGTTCCTTTCTGCCAATCCCACCCCAAGTCCCTCCATCTGGGCCCTCAGCCTTTATGGGCTGACCTTTTAAGACCTTTGCCAGCTACATCCTGCCCATGGGGTCTTCTGGAGCTGCACCCCTGGCCTGTCATTGGAACATTGGTTGGGTACTACCTCCCCTTCATCCTCTTCACTTTCCCATGCCCTGGTTTTGCCCGCAGCCTCTTGCCAACATGAGACCTAGTTCTCCCAAGTGCCATGTGTGATCCCCCTAATTCTGCAACCTCCAAGTAATTATATAGGCTATCACGGGTAGGCTATCAGCGTGGCCCTTACCATTCTATACTCCCTTCCTGGGCCTCCCACCAGACCTAGTGCCATCTTTTGCATAGGACCCAAGTGCTGGCCTTCCCAGGCCCTGTGCACCCTGGTGCTGCAGTGCAGTTGGCTCCCCGGGAGTTCCCGGCACCGGCACCCCTCATACCCTCTGTCTTGGTGCTGTTTCCAGAGCTGGAGGTCTGCTCCCCTTGTGCTGTCCCGTGGAGGCTGGGTGCTTCATGGGTGCCAGCTCTCTGCCTCTGCAATCCCTTCTGTCCCCCCTCCCCCAATTAAAGCTCTGGCATGGCCAGAGAGTCCTGGGTTCGGTTCCTGCTAAGGACACGTACCTCGGTTGCAGTTTGTCCCCAGCCCTGGTTGGGATCGTGTGGGTGGTGGCCACTCAATGTGTCTCTCTCACATCGATGTTTCTCTCTCTTCCTGCTTCTCTCCCTCCCACTCTATCTGAAGATAAAATGCAAAAAAAAATGTCCTTGGGTGAGGATTAAAAAAAAGCTCTGGCATGGAGGTGTGTGCACTTCTTTTTCCTGGTTCAGGGGTATTGCCAGTTTTCCCCTAGGCCAGCTGGTTCACACCTCTGGCTCCACCCTGTCCACCTATTCTCCTTCAGTTGACCAGGTCCTGATGGTGGATGTGGAGTACAGCAAAGGTGGCTGCCTGCAGGCACCCATGCCTGGGTTGGCCCTTGTGATGCTCTGGAGCCCCAGCCTGGCAGGGCCTGCACCTTGTCTAAGGTGGGCCTCTGGGGGCCCTGGCTCTGGGCCATAGGTGCTCTTGGGAGTGCCCTGCTGCTGGGGCGATGCAGCTGCAGGAGCGGCCTTGGGGCCTCTGAGTTCTCTCTAGGCTCTGCCAAATTCACTGCAGTGAACTGCATTGGAGGATCAGTCAACACTGAGAGATAGCCCTCCTGCCCACCCCACCTGGAGCATGGCTGAGCACAGTGTGGAAGAGTGTGTGCTTGGGCCACATTCTGCTGTGCTCAGCCACCTGTGGGCGTGGGCACAGCTGGAACAGGGCCCAGGTTAGGTCCTGGCATTCTGCAGGAGAGGACTCATGGCTGCAGCACACACCCTCAACCCCTCTGCCACCTGCCCTCTTGTCTCTCAAGCCCATGCTCATCCCCTGCCAACATAACAACAGCTTTGAGGGGTCAGCTGTAGGGTCTCCTGTCATCTGATGGGAACACAGGCAAGGTGGATTGCCCTGGGCTAATGCAGAGCTTGGCTTCCACCCTGGGAGAGGGGGAGGGCACTGCCTTTCCTGATGTTTTAGGCCCTTCCCCAGCTGGCCCAGCTTCCACCTCACCACTGTGGGTAGGGGTGAGGTAGTTTGTCAGGTGAATCTCCCCTGTTACCCCTCCATGGTGCAGAAGGATCCTTGTGACCCAGGCCTTTGGCTGGGACTTGGGAAGGACACAGGGTGGCAGCACTCACCTGAGATATGCCTGGTGAGAAGGTGGGGCTGCATTGGGCAGGCACTCATTGAAGGGCAGCTTCCCTGTCACTGTGGCGTACAGGATGATATCTCTGGGGGCAGGGGCTCTTCAGGTGTGCCCCCACTGCACCAGGGTCCTGGCACCCCAGGGGTGTCCATCAGGTAGCATTCAGGCGGCACATGTTGGCCTGTTCCCCATTGTACTTCTTACTTGTGAGGATCTTGGGGGCCATGTAGGCCGTGGAGCCGCAGAAGGTGCTCAGCAGTGCATTCTTATGTCCCAGCAGGTCGGGGAAGCCAAAGTCTGCAAGGATGCAGGGCAGCAGAAGGGGTGAGGGTGAGGGAATGGGCTCTGGAGGGATGGCTGTGCAGTGGGTATGGGGCGTGGGTGGCTGTGGGCAAGGGTGGTGTGGAGGCCTCCTGGGAGGGTTGAAGGTCAAGCCAGCCTGGGGTCTAGTCTGGAGAGGACCAATGTGGAGACTGGCGGCCTGGCAGGGACAACTGTGTAGGGGCCTCCTGCAAGGTGAATGGCTGGGGTCAAAAGTCAGGGCAGGCTGGTGCAAGGGCAGAGGCTGGGCCACAGCCTCACCAGTCAGCTTTAGGAAGCCTTGGTCATCCAGCAGGATGGTCTCACACCTTAGGTCCCTGCATGGGGAAGTGCAGGTGGGGCTGGGCCTGGGCTCAGCTGGGCCTCTCCATGCAAGTAGGGGGCAGGCTGGGCAGCACCCTGACTGGTGCACGATGCCCAAAGTGTAGCAATGGGCCACGGCACTGACCAGCTGCCAGAACAGCCTATCACCTTCTCCTCCAGCCCTGGGCAGCAGCGGTGGTCCACACTGCATTGATATACTCCAACAAGTCACCATGGTCTGCTAACTCCAGCACCAAGTAGAAGCGCTGGCTGTTGTGTTAGGTCTCAAAGAGCTGCAACTGCAGGACCCCCACCCACCTGCTGTCACCCCAAGGAGGGGCTATAGAGTGCCCTGGATTGAGGTGTCAGGATGGGGAGGGGTGTAGGCCTGGGTGGGGCAGCAGGCGTGGTGAGGGCTGGTGCAGGTGATGGGCAGAATAGAGACTGCCATCTTGGGGTCTCAGCCCACCACATTCAGGTGCTTGTAGGTGGCATTGAATGATAAGATCTCACAGGCAAGAACTTTCAGGAGAAGTCCACAGGGCCCTCGGTAGTAGACAATCTTGATAGCCACTTGCAGTGGTAGATGGTAGCCTCTGTGTGAAGACCATGGCCCCTCAGGGCAGGATGTGACAGGACAGGTCCCGTGTCCTTTGTGCACTGTGTTGAACTTGGTGAGGTGAGACGGGGTAAGCAGAGTCCTTGGGTATAGCACTGACCTTTCCCTCCCTTCTTCTTGTCCCAGGCATTTATGAACTCAGGAATTTGAGAACTCTAAGTGGTCAGTCTGTGGGAGTCTTGGCCTCCAGAGAGGATGTGGAACTGGGAGAAAGCCGGAGCAGCTGAGAGGTGCTTGAGTAGGGTTAGTACAGGGCCTGCTGAGGCTGGGTTGGAGGGCACCCCAAGCCCCAGGTCACAGGGAGGAGGCAGGCTTTCTTCAAAGGTCAGAGGCCAGCTTGGGGATGTGCTGCATGCACCCCTGCATGGTGCAGGCCAGGTAGACTTTGGAGAAGGCCCTGGAACCAATCTTCTTGGAAAAGACCAGGTAGCCCTTTCCGTGAAGGTTCACTAGTCCAGCTTTCACCTGCCGCTGCCCTTCATGGAGAACAGGGTGCAAAGGAAGGGGCTGTGGCTGTCTAGCTCACAGTGGGCTCTTATGAGGGAGTGGAGGTCACAGATGAGGCCTGATGCGTCAGAGGGGCATGGGTGACAGGGCTGTAGGAGGCCAGGCAGGACCTGCACCCCCTCACGGCTACAGACAATGTTTGGAAGTCTTGCTGGGACTGGGGCAGGGGCAGGGAAAAGACCAGGGCTGACAGCTCAGGGTAGAGACTGACACAGCTGGGGACTGGTGTTGGGGAGGGCAGGCTCTGGGAAAGCAGGGCAGGTTCTAGAATGAAGGTTCTAGAGCTGCACCTGCACTGTGCCCTTGAAGGGGGTGTCCTTCTGCCCCCAGGACCTGCCTGTCCTGAGAACACCTCACTGAAACCAACCCTATGCTGCATAGGGCCCACTCTCTACGTGATGAGAACCCCTAGGGGCTAGTCAGGCTGAGGTCTCTGTGGGCCACACTGGATGTGGCTGGATACAAAAGGCCTTCAAAGAAGCTGAGGGTTGCCTGGCCAGTGTAGCTCAGTGGATTGAGCGTCACTCCATGGACTGACAGGTCCTGGTTTGATTTCCAGTCAGGGCACATGCCTGGGTTTGCAGCTTGGTCCCCAGTAGAAGGTGTGCAAGAGGCAGCCAATTGATGTATCTCTTTCGCATTGATGTTTCTCTCTCTCTCTAAAAAAATCAATAAAAAATATATTGAAAAAAAAAAGAAGCTGAGGATGGTGAGCGAGCATAGGAAGGCAAATGGGGTTTCTAAGGTCGTAAGGGGAAAGGGACAACACATGCCAGCAACTATTTCAATTTCACCCCTTGTCCTTTGGGAGGGTCCCGAGGTGGCAGCCAGGGGCGGGGGTCACTGGCCTTCCTCTGCTGAGGCCTAGAAGCTTTTCCTGCCTAGACAAGGCCTGCAGGAGGCTTTTCCCCCAGAGCTCTCTGCAGACTTAAGGACACATCCCCAAGGCAAGTGTGGCCCCCAGCCTGGGCCCACCCAAACCCTGCAGCTCCAGGAGAGAGCGGCCAACATGACCCTGCTTCTCCTGTCCTTGAGAATCTTCAGTGAGCACTATTACCACAGGGAATAGCAGGTGACATTTACTGAATGCCTGCTGCGTGCCAGGTGCTATATGAAGCAGACATAGTAGTTGCAACTACTACTTCCCACAGCCACACCTGAGGTGGATGTCTCAGGAGGCAGGCAGGGCACATTCAGGATCTAAAATCAGAACACAACCAGGTGATGCCCATTTTATAGGTGACAGAACTGAGGCCCAAATGTGCAGTCTCTCTGCCGTGAGCTGGATGGCACAGAGGCTGTGGACTGCTTTCTTGGGAGCCTCCCAAAGGGCCTGGGTCATGGTGGAGGCTTGGTTTCTGGGGACCTGACATGTCCCCCACTGGGACTCATGGTGGATGTGGTGTGCCCACTGCAGGAAAGTCCTGGGAATGCTCTGCCTGGGGATTCTCTGCCTGGGAGGCTGAGGCTCATTTTTTTATACCTGTTGGACCGTGTGCTGCTTGGGAGCAAGGCTTGTGTTTGCTATTCCCTTGCTCACCCACAGCCTGTGTCCAGCAAATTGCCTGGAATATAGCAAATGTGGACAAACTAACTGGTTTGTTGCTGACCTCTGAAGGTTAGGAAAACAGCAACCACTCCAGGTATTCCAAGCAGAGGGGATTTAAGGTGGGGCTGGAAGGGCTGGAGAAGGACCCTGTCTAGAGCTAGAGCAGCACAAGGGAAAACCATGGGGCTCTGGCCAAGGATGGCTGTGCTGCTGCCCACATGCCTATCACCTTCCTGGCTCCTACCAGAGCCCAGAACACACCGGAGGCCAGCAAGTTAGTCACCAGCTCCATCCACTTTCTTTCTGCAAAATCTGTCTTGCCCTCCTCCTCTTTCCCTGCACCCTATGTCATCCCTCTATCCCATGGACATTCCTTGAGCACCCAACATATGCTGGGCTTGGTGTTGAGCTCTTGGGAGCAAATCGCAGACATGGGCCTTTCATAGAGCTTACCGTTGTGAAAGGGAGATTGGCATTAATAATTTAATAAAAGTTAAATGATAGCGTGATGTGTACTGGGCAGTTTGCTTGGGGACTGA